ACTATCTCAAGTCTTCCCCCTGGTTTGTATAACAATTTGTGACCTGGAGTTCCCTTCAAGTACCGTACAATTCTAAGAACTACATCCGAGTGAGGTATTTGGGGATTTTGCATAAATTGGCTCGCCACACTGACGGCAAAGGAGATGTCTAGTCTAGTAATGGTTAGGTAGTTCAGCTTCCCCACTAACCGTTTATATCTTCTAGGATCATCAAACATTTCACCTGCATCACCGCTAACTTAGCATTTGGTTCCATGGGTGTTTCAGCTAGTTTAGTACCTAACAACCTTGTTTCTTCCAACAGATCAAGAACATATTTTCTTTGGCACAATTTTATACCTTGTTTTGACCTGGCAACTTCTATATCCAAGAAATACTTCAACTTCCCAAGATCTTTTGTTTGGAAATGGTCTTGCAAGAAGGCCTTTAGCTTGACAATCCCTAGTCTGTCACTACCAGTTATGACTATAGCATCCACATAAACCACTAATAAAATCTTTCCGGCTTCAGAATCATAGTTGAACACTGAGTGATCGACCTAACATTGTTTCATTCCGAAATCTTTCACCACTTCACCGAACCTCCCAAACCAAGCACGAGGAGACTGTTTTAGCCCATAAATTGTCGTTTTGAGTCTACAGAATTTACCATCCTCCCCCTGAGCAACAAACCCTGGTGGTTGCTCCATGTAGACCTCCTCCAAAAGATCACCGTGGAGGAAGGAATTTTTAATGTCAAGTTGAAACAAAGGTCAATCATACATAACTGCCAAGGAAATCAAGACACGAACTGAACCAATCTTAGCAATGGAGAGGTCTCCATATAATTCACCCCATACAATTGAGAGTAACCCTTAGCAATCAGTCGGGCTTTCAATCGTTCCACATTACCATCTGGTAAATATTTAACAATATACACCCATTTACAACCTACAACATGCTTACCTGGAGGAAGAGTAGTGAGCTCCCACATGTGATTGTGTTGAAGAGAAGAGAGTTCCTCCTCCATTGCTTGATGCCACCCTGTTGAAGTAAGAGCCTCCTGGACATCCTTGGGTATAGATATAGAGGACAACAAAGAAACAAATTGGCAATGTAAAATGGAAAGATGAGAAACAGAAACATAGTTGGATATGGGATGTAAGGTACAACTACGTTTACCTTTCCGCAACACAATGGGAAGATCTAGGTTAGAAGAGGTAGGTAGCTCTAGGATAGGAGCAACTACAAGATCCGCATATGAGGTAGAAGCTAGAGGAGGTGTCAGTGTCTGTTGTTGAGTATACACATGCCAAATCGGTGGTCGTTTTAGTAGGAATTTGCATTGGAGGAGGTGAAGGCTCAGGCATAACAGGAATAGTTGGAATGGGATCACCAATGAGAAGAGGAAGAGGGATCAATGGTGAAGAGGTCGGAACATCAGGATCCGAGAAGAACAATACGGACTCAAAAAAAGTGAAATCAGGATAGACAAATGACTTCCGAGTGATAGGATTGTAACACTAATACCCTTTCTGGGTCCAAGAATAGCCAAGAAAGATGCACTTAATAGAATGTGCGTCCAACTTGTCTAAGCCAGTGCCCGGATTGTGAACAAAGCACACACACCCAAAGACCCGAGGAGTTAATGGAAATGGGGATAAAGTGGGGAACAAAATAGAAAAGGGAGACCGATCATGAAGGATGGACGAGAGCATTCGATTAATGAGGAAACAAGTTGTGAGCACTACATCACTCCAAAAACGCTTAGGAACATTTATATAATGAAGGATAGACCGAGCAGTCTCAAGAAGATGATGGTTCTTTCGTTCAACCACCCCATTTTGTTGAGGGGTGGACGCACACGAGGTCCGATGAATGATGTCATGTTGTTCCAAATATTGTTGAAAGGAAGTAAGAAAGTATTCTCTACCGTTATCTAAACAAAGAATTTTTATTGCAACACCAAATTGCGTATGTATCTCAGCATGGAATTTTTGAAAAATATAAAACAATTCACTTCTTTCTTTCATTAATTAAATCCATGTCATCCTTGAACAATTATAATTAAAATGACAAAATATTTGTAACCATTATAGGACTCAATTTTAATTGGACCCCAAACATCTGAGTGGACTAAAGCAAAAGGACACAGCATACGACTATTGACCCTAGGAAATAAAGGAAACCCGATGGTGTTTCCCATACTGACACGACTCACACTGCAAAGAAGACAAATGACTAAAAGAAGGAACTAGTAGCTTGAGAGCTTTGAGAGATGGGTGTCCCAGCCGATAGTGCCATTGGAGAGGAGTCAGGGTAGTCTAAAGTGCAACTGAAGATCCACCACTGTCAAGATAATACAATCCACTAGCTTCATGCCCTCCACCAATCTTCTTCCCTATCTTGAGATCCTAAAAAACACAAGATGAAGGGTAAAAAGTGATGGAACAATTAAGGGCCTTGGTTAATTTACTAATAGACATAAGGTTGGATGGAAATTTTGGCACATATTAGAACAGAGGATAAAGAAAGAGATGTCGTATCAACATTACCAACACCACAAATGGGAGAAGAATCATTGGCTAGGGTAATAGTTTGGGATGTGGAAGTTTCAGAGAGGGTAGAGAACACACCTGGAATCCCGGTCATGTGATCATAGGCTACAGAATAAATGATCCAATGAGAAGGTTTGGATGCCAAACAAGCCATACTTGAGTGAGCAAGGGTAGCAGTGTTCTGTGGTGAAGTGGCCTGAAGGAACCTCTCATACTCATCTCGTGGTACACTCATCATCTTCTTCCCGGAAGCAGATGTAGATGTAGAATGTGTTTGATCTGTCTGTTGATTATCACTCACATCACCACTACCAGCAACTGCATGGTTAGCCCATGTGGAAGGTGGGCCATGTAGATCATAACAAAAATTAATTGAATGTCCTTCCCTGCCACAATGTGTACACTTCCTAGTAGTGTGCCCTCTTCCTCTACCACGGCTTCCCCCTGAGTCATGACCTCCACCACTTCCACTACCATGACAATTGACCAAACATGGGACTACCATGGCCTCCTCAAAATGCATGTCCCCTTCTATTTCCACGTTCAGCTCCTCTCGCTACAACAAACACTGATCTATCATAAGTGTGGTACTCTATGTGGGTCCCAGAGAAATCCTACGGAGCCGAGCAAATACTTGCTCAAGTGTAGGAAGAGCAGAACCTCCAAATATTTGTGCTCTAACTAGTTCATATTCTGATTTCAGCCCTACTAAAAACATGGTTACATCAAGTTGCTTCCGTTGTTGTTGTTGAATTTTGACATTTGAAGTGAGGGGGTGATAGACATTAAGTTCATTCCTGAGGTTCCTCATACTGGCATAATACTCTTCAAGGGTTTGATTTCCTTGTTATAAATTAAAGTACTCCTGATAGAGCTGATATACTCTTGTAGTATTGTCTTGTCCAGAATAAAGTTTCTTTGTATGTTTCCATATTTCCTTGGCTGTATCTAAGAACATAAAGTTTGCACTTATCTTGGGTTCCATATTGTTCTATAACTATGTCATGATTTGGGCATCCTCTTGTTCCTAATCATTGAACCCTGGAGAGTCAACTGATGGTTTATCCTCCTTCACATGTTTCACCTTCCTCTTGGTCTTGAGAAAAACCTCCACCGACTTGGCCCATTGCACATAATTTTCACCATTAAGTTTAATTGATGTCATCTGCACACCTAAATAGTCTGAAGGGGTCACCACATTAGATTTCTGATTACCACCACAATCTCCAATTGTTGCCATTATGTTCTCAATACACTAGATTTCTCCTAGTTCTGAATTATCAACCAACAAAAAGGATATTTCTGCTATTCAATGAACACTGCTGCAATCTGCACATCACCTTATGGCACTTTCTCAACCAGCCACCATAAGAAAAAATCATTAACATATACCACCATTCAGACACATTCAGTCATCTCCTTCATAAAAAAAAAAAAAAAAAAAAAACCTGATTTCTCACACCACTACTATTAACCACACTATTTCTCACATCACCATTCAAACACAAACAAAGAAAAAACCCCTCTTGAAACTTCTCAGTAGAGGGTCTGTAACACAACAAACACCACCACACAACCACTAGGGCTGTCACTCACCTAGGACTGCCGCTAACACCTGTCATGGGGGCAGTCCTGGATCACCAAAAAAAAGGTTGCCGCAGCCTTTTACTGGGTGTGCCACAGCCTTCTACCTGTGTAACTGAGATCACACCTCAGAGAGGAGAAAAGAAGAAGAGAAGAGATTGCTGGTCCAGGAACTTGAGATTGCAGCCTTCCTCTCTTTTATTTAGTGCTCTGATACCATGTTTTAGTGGTTCAGATAAGTCCTGTTCGAAAGAAATCTGTCAAACTAGAGAGTCAAACCCTCCTAGTTGACCATAATTTCTATTATATTAAAATAAGGGTACAAAGTTAAATATACTCCTTAAGTATGGGACAAGAGAAATAAAAAACAAAACAGAATTGCCACATCACTACACTACTTAAACTATAATGAAAAGACTAAGTTACCCTTAGTCCCTTACTCAACCAACTCTAACAATATTTGATATTTCTTAATATGCTTATCTCTTTAGTATTTCATCTAGCATATATTGCCATATGCTGTTTTATTAATTTTATAATTTTGGGCTAGCACATCAGCTGTGTCATTGATGGTCTTTGTTGTGGAGTGTTCCATTTGGCCAGTTTGATCTTCTGCTGAAAAAAGTACCATTCTGCCATTCTTGGTTTTGGATTCCTTCCTAGAAGATGAAATGAAGCCTTGATGCCCTTTCAAACATATGCTTCTTAGCATTTTAAGTTTGTCTTATGAATTCTTTTTTTTCATAGTATGCCACATAGAGTAACTACAAGTTAATATCCTCTGGCATCAACTTAGCTGTTTGAAAATTTGCTTGAATTTTCATCTCAGTTATTACAGATTTCAAGGGTATTGTACTTTGCCTTGACTGGTTATTTTCAGGGACCTTAATCCTCTGTATGATGTTATGAGTCACAGTGATTACAAACAGAAGTACTACAAAAATTTAATGCCTCTTGGTCTCCAGTATACCAATGTAAGAAATATGTGAAATAACTTGTATGTCAGGCATACCCCAAGCTTCTGTATCATTCATTTTATTCAATTTATAACCTTTCATGAAAATCATGGAATTCTTTGACACATTTTGTGCAGATTTTACCATGGGGAGGGAAGATTACAAGTGAGTCATTGAGATTTTTCTCACCAATTGTGATATGGACCAAGTTCACATCAAGCCAAGACAAACATAATATTTTATATTCTGCATTCATGGACTACTACAAGGTATAAGCTTGGCTTTTATATGGTCCTACTTAAAATATTCTGGAATGGCAGTCACTAATTATCTATTGGCTGTTAATTGTATTTATATTTTTTGAGTTTCTTATTACAGATTGTTTATTTAAGATTAGGAAATGTTATGTTAATTTGGTTTAGGTGGTTGACTGATTAAATGTGCAAAATCTTATTGGTGTTATTACTTGTATTTCACATCACAGGCGTGGCTTGAATTGATGGACCAAGCATCAGAGGAGATGGATGCTTCTCAGGTTGTCTGTAATCGTGAAGCACAGCATAAATATCTATCATGGAGAGCAGAGAAGGTAAATCCTTTTTTTTCATGATTGTCATTTTGTTTAAATGTCCTCAGCTAGAGATTACATATTTCAAACATAGACTTGCATATAATATCAGTGACATGCATGCTAGGTTCTGGCTTAGATGTGCTTTACTGCAGCTAGTAAAGGAAAGGAAATTTTGTGACTCCAAATCAAGTATTGTAGGGAACTCCCTTGTCTTGATTACCACCAGAAAGATGTCCATTTTATCTTCAATGCCACTTTATATAGGTTGTTGATAGAATATAGATGATTCTGGAACCACTAAGGGGTGTTCAGTATGTGGTGTAGATGTATTGTCAGTAAAATAAATATCTTAGTCTGTTAGCCATTCATTAGAATACACTAGAAATCATGCAATCCACTATGGCCTGGCTTGATCCACAAGATTTAATTATGTACAAGTAAATGCGATATAGCCCAATCCAATCCACACTATAGTGTGGTTTGAACTGGTTGAACTGGGCTACACCCTCAAACAAACAGCTTTTGACTGTGGCATGGGTTTTAACCAGGTGATCCACAATATTTCCATGGTACTGAACACCCTCTATGTTAGCCTTTATATACATGTAGTGTCACTTCTTACATGTAGATAGCACAGGTGGTCGTGTAGCACCAAGTGTACCTAGTCATTGATTTATGGGTGCATTTGAAGTGCAGCTAGTCTTTATTAAACTGAATGTACTATACTTGTCAGATGTATACATACAGTTCAATAATCACTCTTTGGATTCTTCTTAAAGAATCAATGGAAAATATCTACACCAAAATTGCATAAAGATCCCTGGTTAACTCATGTTTCCTTTTCAATTTGAACTTTCACTCTAAATGGGGTATTGTTGGGGCATGGTCTCTTGGTGGTATCCCTCCTGGTGTTTGACATGCTTGAACCCAAAAGCAGAGTACTGGCTGCTATGCAAGTAAATTTTTGTTGATCTTTTAATATCATTATATTTCATCCGTATTCATCTTTTGAATAATTTTACCATCTGTTACTTTCTTTAGCATATGAAATATTTTGCAAAAGTTTGGCCTTATATTTTCAGACCCATATCCATATTTATACCACACTTTTTTTTTTTGAATGGAATGTGACCATATTTATACCATTGCTTGGTGATGGGTTCTCCTGAAAGCAAAATCCCTACACACACTCTGCAAGCATGGGCATCCAGAAGCACATTGGGAGCATCTTCCCATGAATTTAAGATACATGTATTGGAGATATTCCCTATGTCTGGATTCCATGTTCTCAGAGTTTTTGATTTTAGAAGATCTGGGCTCCATTACTTGGTGTAATGCAGTAATGGACTAATGGTAAAATCTCAGGTTGTCAAGTGTGAGAATGCAGGTTCAAGTCTGAGAGCAGCCACTTTGTATAAAATTATTAGGACTATATCCAGACCCCAGATATCTGGGAGATTGGGTAATGGCATTTTAGCGAGTTGAAGAAGCCATTGCCATGGTTCATTGCCAGTGCTTCTTTAATTCATGTATTAACCTATTATGACTTCATAAAAAAACTTCTTTTACTGAAGTAACAATTGCAAAACAGGACCCAGGTCATCAACTTCTGAAGAAGTTGATTGGAGAGAGTCATGCGAAGGTATTTTCTTCTAATGGTTCTCAAATATAGTTCCTTTTTTTGTTTTTGCCTTTTTCCCGCTTTTTGGCTCACTACCGGTCTAGTGTATTTCTATTGAACCTTTTTTGTTTTCTCTATAGGATTTGATCAGAAGCTTCCTTTTCAATGGAGTTGATACACTAGGAAGCAAAACATTTTTGGATTACTTTCCAGAGTACTGGTGTGAGAATGGGAGTGTAAACCAGAAGCGCAGTATGATTGGGAAGTCCTTTGAAACTCGTCCTTGGGATACAGGAGGAGAATTCATTGGTAATGATATTAGATAACTGGTCTCATTTTCTCTGTTTCTCTTATGTTTAGAATGTGGAAAAATCTGTATCACCTTGTTACAGATCCCAGTGTATGAAGTTCGTGTTTCGTTAATCTCTCTCTGAGTCGAGTTTAGCTTTTCTTTGAGGGGCATGATAATGCGAATGACAAACACTTGAAAGTGTTGAGATCCAAAGGTGCAAGGTTCTTTGTCACAAAATAAAGTTTGAGGGTGCTAAGGCAATCCAGATCCCCTTCCTGTCCACACCTACCCACATGACGCTATAGCTGTACATTGGGAACGTCTCCACATTAATGGTAACATATAAATAAAGTTTGAGGGTGTAAGGCAATGTAGATCTCCTACCCACAAGAATCGACTCCCCGGATCACCGGCCAACAGAACACGTTCCAACCACCTACCATCACAGTGACAGTGTGACACCTCACATCATGTAGGGTGTCAAACAGTGTTGGTAGGTGGTTGGAACATGTTTTATTGGCAAGAGATCCCAATTCACAAGAATCTTGCCCACACTTATCCACAGTACACTACACTCTACACTGGGAACATCTCATGAATGGTAACATGTAAATGTGTGAGATGTTCTCAATGTGTAACCGTACGGGGTGGGTATGGTTCTTATGTGTAGGAGATCCAAATTGGGGGTAAGGGACCATTATTTTTCTGGATTTTAAAACGAGGAAAAGTTGGTCAATGGAATTTTGGTTTCCATTGACCGAGATACCCATATTTTTTTTTCAAATTTATGTGGGGTCTAGATAAGAGATATCTATCTCGTAGGTGGATAAACAACTTTTGCACCTAGGGAAAGTTGTCAAAAACTTAGATATGACAAAATTTCTCTTAATAATTGTTTATGGGTAAAATGATCATTGTCATATTTACTTGGGAAATAAAAAAAAATGGATAAATGCACTTATCCGGGTAAGTAGCTTCCTGAAAAAACAAATAGGCCTAAGTGTCACCATACTCAAGTACAAGATGGCAGTCTAGAATTTATCCTATATTATTTATGCATCATTGGATTTGTCAAATACTAGGAATGGCAAAAACTCGGCCCCATACCTGCTCTGAACCCTAGTAAGGATAAAAATCCTAAACCCATCCCCAGGCCCACGGGGAGTGAGGATCCCCAACTTTGCCTCACCTCGTTCGGTCATTCTTACCTATATGCTTATTAATTTATTTATTTTTTATTTTTTTGAAACCTACCTAAAATTCTTTTATATTATGTAATATAATATAACATTATATATATATATATATATATATATATATATAAAGATTCAAAGTATCGATACGTATTTGTCTATATCAGCCGATACGTATCATGCCGATGGCTTCCCGATACGCCCCTCTAGGGGTTGTATCAGGTTAGACACTAGATCAAAGGGTAGTTGGGTCTTAATCAAGCCCTTTAAACCAATTTTGAAAAAAAAATAAATAAAACCTAAAAAAAAAGTACCAAGTCAATACTTTGAACCTTGATTATATATATATATATTATGTTATGTAATATAGTTAGGGTGGGGTCAAGGTCGGGTAAGTGGTCAAAACCCCCACCCAATCAAGGCAGGATGGGGTGGGGCCCATGGGGACGGGTCAAATTGCCATCTCCATCAAAACCTCAAAATGGACACTAGGTCACGGACTGATCATTCTGATTCAACTATTTGGCTTGTTTAAATGAAAAATATGAAGAACTGAAAAAGGGTTTGACAATGACAAGTCATTAAAGTGGTAACCCTAAGGTGGTATTGATCAGCATTCGTGGAGGGGTTTTGATTGGTTAAACCTCTTCTGGTATCATACCCTTTTTGGCATCATAGGTCTATTTTGATTGAAAATGGTTCTAGATTATCTTAAAGCTATTTTACATCAAAGCAAACTTAAACAATAAATTTTAGAGGCTATTTTGATACATTTGACTGAGGTAAGACGAAAATCAGGCAACCATGATTGGTTGAAACACTGGTGCAAAGAACGAATATTTAAGAATGAGATTTGAGCCAGAAATTATACCCTTTGGAAGCTGAATATTTTGTCAAAAGAATTAATTATAGAATGAGTTTTAAGGCCCAAAATTGAATTTGTTCGAATAATTTTAATACATCCAAACTTACAATAGCACTTTTAAGTTAGAATTACAAAACTCATCATAGTTAAAAGCATATACCAAAGACCGTCTTAAAAGTCAATTTTGACTGCCAGTTCCCAGTTTCAGCAATCCTACTTACCGCCCGGTCCAGTCTGATATCCTTTTCAATTCCTTCTTTTTTTATTCTAACGAAAATAAAATCATTAAAGAATCAGTCTAATAATAATGTCTTAAGATAGAATCTCCTCATGAATAGCAGAATAGGATTAAACAGTTCGAACCCTGAACAGGTCTTAGGCGGTGTTTGGTATGTCTTCTGTTTATTTGATAAATGGTATCATGTCATTGTCATGTGGTTATTTGTCCTATCATGTTATTTTGTACATCCTGCAGTCCTATAAATAGAAGTATTGATTTATGTGTAAATCAATCGTTGAGAGAAGTTACATTTTAATGGTTTCCTCCAATACAAAAGTGTTTATTTATTGTTCTTTATAGTGCCTAATGGCATCTAATGGAATCTAGCTGTCAACAAATAGAAAAACATTTATCAACCACTTTTTCTTAGTTTTGAAAATAAATTAAGTACAAACGTTTATTTAATAAATGGAAGCTATACCAAACACATACTTAATTCTTACCGCTCATTTGCCAATGATAAAGGAATGGAGAAAATAGAAAAAGAAAGGTCTTGAATGGATAATGCAAACTAATTAGAGGCAAGTTAACCAAAAAGAAAAAGAGGGAAGTCCCCTATTAAAACTTGCCTATTAAGAGGAATTTTGGAGACTGCTATTGAGCTCCAATCTAATTTGCCTTGTTTGATATTCTTTCATTGTTGAGGGAAACTCACTAAATGACCCAACTACCAAGCTCTCTCCCAAACATGTGCAAGGTGTGGAGATCTTTTGTTCTATTTTGAACACTTGTACACTAGACATAATTATCCTGTAAAGGTGTGGAGAAAGGATTGATTTCAAAATTTGAGAATAAAGAAGAAAAGGGTTACAAATACTTGCATTCAAATTGAACAATAATGGCTCCGTTTGAGAAGAATAAGTATAAATATGTTCGTGCAAAACCTTATATACAGTATTTCTAAACCTTGTACTTGCATTGTACACATTTGCATTTACAGTCTTTCCAAACTGAGCCTATACCACTAATTTGGATCAGCAAAATTGGTTGGCTCTTTCTACTTTTGTATAAGTTAATTAGCTACATTATGCAGGTAGACATGCTTAGACATCTATTTATTTGTTCATTAGCTTACAAGTCTTCCATGGTAGCGAAAAAAAAATTAAGTCTCCTACAAGTTAATTATGTGAATCAACATGATCAGATTGATTCATTGAATTTGATGCTTCAGAATTCTAATTTGTAGATTATTTTTCTTTTATATTTTTGCCATATGTTTAATTAATGGTTTTCATGAGACAATGCTTCGACAATATGTAATTACCATATACAAAAAGCGGCATCAAACTGTTAGCTTCTTGGACAATTTTGTCCATCCAAGTTAATGATATCATTATTGGTTATCCTTAATAATTTTACCTTTAAGTATATACTACATTAAACTCCAAATTGCTTATTAGTAATAGTAATCCATTCTTCACATAAGTTTTTGTTATAATTGTAGATAGGATTCTATGCCATGTATTTATTTTACTTTATTTTATTTCTATTGTGTGATGAGCCTTATGGTCTTTATGTAGAGTGTTTTGTACTTTGCCCACTAATAAGGGGCATTTATGTAATTGTATATATCTTTGCCCCATTTTATAAAACTACATCTTTGAGGGTGGGGCATTTATTCGATACACCTTCCCAAGCTCTTCTTCTTCTTCCTAGTTGCATCTATGAAACCCTAGAAGAGTAGCATAATATCTTTGCCCCATTTTATAAGGTTGTTTGGATGATTAGGGCCCGTTTGGCAAGTCCTTTTGAGAAAATCTTCTGGTAGCTCTAACAGTCAAAAGACACATTGAGCTTTTGACATAAGATCTGATCAGCCTGTAGACCATTTGGTAAGTGTGGTTATTCATCGATCTGTTGGAAGACAATATCAGCCCAAAGAGCGTTTGGAATTGCTCAAGTATGTGCATTACTGATCTGGGCTATTTAGTGCATGTTTGACACTTTACCCACCATGGTTGGGTCACAGTGGCCCAAATGACAACAGATTTGGGTCTTGCGGGTCTCATCTACAATAACAATGTGTGGGCCCCACATAATGAGTATCATCTTGCATTGATTATAAACACCATATGGCTTCCATATGACTTTAGCATGGGTGGGGTCCACTTGTCCTTAATGTGGGGTCCACAAAACATTTGTGGGGCCCACTTGAATTAATTTTAATTGGTTCAACTAACAATATGATATTGTATCTCTATGTTGGTGTACCTTACATAAATATGTTCATAAGAGTTTGCAAAAGAAATAGAGTATCCTTACAAGTCATTTCCATACTAACAAAATAGTAATTAAAAGCATCATTAACATGATGAAACACATCATTCCACAGCAACATGCATAGACTCCAAGTGCAACAATATGTTCCTTCTTATAGTCTGCATTGTTGTCTTGTTCAATGATGTGCACTTGAGGTTCATCCGGTGTATACTTATCTACCCACATGAAGTCGTATTCATGCGGCTAAAATATAATAATAGCAAAAAAGTGATTACACATTACTCATCTTTCATATTAAGTAATATTACTCACAATATTGCTTTGTTGGTTTCGTACCTCACCATTAGGGCACTTATAAAACCATCTTCCATAATTTTTTTGGATTTTGCCATGAATAACCTCATTCATCCTCGTCTGTATGCACAAATGGGTCCCTTTCGAATAGTGGTCATAGCTATCATTCCATAAGTACTCAATTAATCCATACCATCCAAACATTAAACAAAAACATGTTAGACAGTGTATGCCCTTAGCTCCAACCAGATTGATGTACAAATACATTTATTGTAAATGAATAAAAGTACATTATTGTTTCATGTTGATATT